GTCGACGCAGATGGGGATGATAACGGCGACGAGTCGATGACGAAACAAAGAAAGAAAGAAGATGAGAAAGGTGTGGAGGATGACGACGACGATTCGTGTTACGATTACGATACGAATAATGATGACGTCGACGACGAACACGTGGAATACGAGGAGTGCTTTTTGAATAATGGAGGAGTAACGGAGTACAGGGTTGAGGAGGACAGAAGAACGAAGGGTAAAAGTTACAAAAAGGAGCAGCAATGGGAAATTGACAGAATACGAAGGAACGTGCGCAGAAGTTACCTGAAAGATAAAAGAAAAAAGAAAATTGGCAAAAAATCGAATGTGGAAAAGAGACCTGAAACGAAGAAGGATGACAAAGAGCAAGACGAGAAGGAAGAGGAAAAGAACGAAGAGGGTGAAAAGGAAGATAAGAACGAGGATATCGAGATGGTGATCAAAAAGAAAGGGGATGTAGACGATGAGGACGAGGAGGAGGAAGAAGAAGAAGACATGGAGGAGGACTACGAAGAGTTGAATCTGGAAGATGAAGAACTGGATGACGATGTAGACGACTATTACGACCTTGACGAGGATGACGATGACTACGATGACGAAGACGACGACGACGACGACGATGATGTAGACGAGGATGAACAGCAACCGGACGAGAACGTGAAGGACGAAAGCATCGGTAAGGCAGACGAAAAGAATAGCAAGGAGACAGACACAGGCGACAATGATAACGATGACATCGACGTGGAAAAAGAGACCGGAAAAAAAGACGAAAAAGAGTCGAACTTGAAAAGCACTTTAAAAAAATTAAAAAAGAAATCGAAGCAGAAGAACGAATTGAAGATATTTGTTTTCGCCAGAGCTGACCGTGAAAAAGAGGATTGGTACAGACGTTTGGTTTCAGCCGCGTCACGACGCTCTAAGAAACGAGATTCATTGTCGTTCACCATGAACTCATCGTCCACGAATACTTCGTTAGCGACGCAGAGAAACGTCATCGCGGAGTCCAAGAGTTCGGGTAACTCGCACGAGAAAAGTGTTCCCGATCTTAACTATAACGCTTACATGGGAAAATATTTGGACACCGATTCGGGCAAGCTGGAGAACGCGTGCTCCACCGACACACTTTGGTTCAATTGTTTGGTAGCTCGCATACTGTTCGATATACACAAATGTCCAGAAACTATAAATCTTATACAGGATAAGATACAGCGGAAATTGTCTAGCATAAAATTACCGTATTTCATGGAGTGCCTTTTAGTTTCGGAGGTAACGATAGGGCAAGGGTCGCCCGTCGTTCGCAACGTAACGAAACCGATAATCAACGAACGAGGTCTTTGGCTCGACTTCGACGTGACGTACCAAGGATCCCTGACCATGACGGTCGAAACGAAACTGAACCTGATGAAGTTGACGAGGGCCGGATCGGTTCCGAGTAACAGCAACGTAATAATTTCTTCGGAGAAACACGAATCGATGGCGAGGTCAGCGATTTTTGACAGCGACTTAGAGGACACTCCAGAAACGTCTACGGAGGACGAAGATGCTTCGAGAGCACAGTTATACAACACGGCCAAAGAAGCAACGTAAGCGATAACAAAGTGTCTGCTACGATTCCGTTTCTAAGCCGATTTTTCTTTGCAGCGGTATACAACAGTCATCTGGGAAAAAGTTTCTCAGCATGGTCGACAGGATAGCTGCGAACAAATATTTTCAACATGTGAGTTTACTCTTTTTGCTACTTTTATTATCATGGTTATTCGATACTCGTTTTACCATATTTTTCAATTGACAGGCGACGGAATTGTCTTACGTTCGAAGGGCGATGGAAGGAGTTTCGAACACGGAAATTCGTCTGATGGTTACCGTTTCAAGTATAGAAGGTTGTCTGTCGGTAAACGTTCCACCGGCGCCGTCCGATCGTTTATGGTACGGTTTCAAACCCGTGCCGAAAGTAACTCTTACCGTAAAACCCGCGGTTGGCGAGAGAACGGTTAACATCGTTTACGTTACCAAGTGGATAGAAGCCAAGTTACTCAGGGAATTTGAGAAGCTCGTCGTTTTACCGAACATGGACGATCTCATAATGCCGTTGTGTCCTAATTATCCTTATACGACGATGCGGTAGTCGTTTGCGAGCAAACGGTAAGGCGAGGTAAAGTAAGGTAAGAATATCGAGTGTCTTGTTTTTTCTAATCACGATCTCGCAACGTAGATTCGGCCTGTGAACGACGAATACCGCTGTGAAACATGTTTGTTACATAAAAATACAACGTAACTATATTTAATTGTGGTACACTCGGGTGCAATTATTCTTAGCTATAAGCTTTTTCTAATTTTATTAACTTCTAAATTTCCACTCTCCCACTTTTCCTAAATTACCACTTCTCCAGTTTCCAAATCGCTAATTGCTAAATTTTTCTATTTGTAAAATTGTAAACTTCAGAAGTAAGATTTGCACCCTAGCGTAACTCCGATATCGTCACAAGGGTGGTGTTCGTTGAACGAGAACGTCGGTGTACGTATTTGGATAGCACTTTTTTTTAAATCGTTTGATCTTTGATCATTTTCTTGGGACCATATGCCGCGTTGTTCATTAGAACGTTTGTTGCGGATCGTTTACGTTTGCATTTACGTTCGGATCATGCGTTATGCTTTCTGCCTAGGCCCGTTCTCGCCGACGCGACACCGGGGTATGGACATCGAAAATCGATCTAGTCGACTTCGGCAGTAAAATCACGCATTTATTCGGATCGTAAGTGTTTCTCGCGAAATGTAACTAACCGAAACTGTACGTTGGTTTGTGCGTGTATCGTTTGTTCAAGACGTTATATAATTGTAAATTACGTTTGTACGCTGTGATTACGTGTATGTAACGCGTATATGTTGCATATTTTAAAGGTCGAATTAGAGATTGTAACGCGAGCGGATCCTTTATCTTATATGCGAGTCCTATATAAAAAATCATGCAAGCTACTCGTGTGCGTAATTACTGTAATCCCTTTACCCGGAATAATTTACAAGGAACGTTGAGGACGAAAGGACAGCACAGAGTATTCGGTACAGGAGTCGATCAGCGATCAAACATGTACTCGTTGCTGAACAGATGTATTTGTTGCGATAAAATTTCTACAAAACAATATCACAGTTCGGAGATCGATAATTCGCGTGGTAGAAAATAGAAAAATATTAAGTATTTACAAATATCTGGTTGGAAATGTGTGGCTAGCGAATTGGCTAACTTCGAAGAACACAGGGCGCCGTATCCAGTTCGTGGACTGCTTTTACCCAAGTTTCGAGCCTCGGTGCGCAGACGAGAACAAGATCACCAAGTCGCCGTTTGGCCATTATCACGAATTCTCCCTGACCGTGGCGCGCGTCGCAGGCAGTAGGTACCCTTACGCGAACCTTTTCTCGATCGTACGATTCCGCCACATCCACGTCGTTGCTTCCCTGTTCGAAAATAACGAGGTCATTTATACCGATTGCGAACAAGTACAACGAGCAATGTAATGATAGAAGTCGTATTGCGTTATCTAGAATTTAATATGTAAAGAAACACTGGTCTGCCAATGTAGCTAGATATTATCTTTCGGTGAATGGTGAGTGGTGAGAGTAAACGGAGTAGGAGTAAATTTGAATGGTACCTCGTTCTCCTCGATTCGACGCAACATCTTGGTCACTCCAAGGACGAGTTCTGCAGCTTCCAAACTTGGTTGTTTCTCGACAGCGCTCACCGTACCTCTGGCTACCAAGTCGCTTTGGCAATAAGCTTTAGCCAGTTCATCCATGGAGCACGGTCGACAATCCTCCTCCTCCTCGTCGCTGAACAAACGCGATCTCCCGTCCTCCCGATCGTCCACGTAACGCAACTCCAGATCGTATTGCAATTTTGCATCCTGACGACGTTCACCCGACGCACCCGTTTCCTCCGCCTCTATGTAAAGCGCCGCGGGTTGCTTTTTCGCGCGGAAGCATCTGTGCGAAGCTTCGTGCTTGCCGTCTCTCGGAGAATACACCGGTCGAAGCTTTCCATGGGTCTCCAAGTATACTCTTATCGGTCCTGACACCTTGGTGCACGTACGGAATCCGGACAATCGAAAAACACCGTCGTTGCTGATCGAATTAGTGTCGATGCTACTGTTTCTCCTCGCTTCGTATTTGCTTCTTTTGCCAATGAATTCGTAGTGGACTTTCGAAACGAATCCGGTCGATACGGGGGGCGATAAAACCACCCGTAAGGCCCCGCGTGGATAACGCCAAAATACGGTTCCCCTCGAGCATCGCAGATACACAGGTCGGACACCTCGGCCACCACCTCCGCTGCAATACAATCAGTAAAGAATCAGTACAGATATTTAGCTATCCTTTGTAACACGTATATTTTATTCGCAGTTTCGCGCCTTTAATCTTGTACGTATTTTATCCTTGAACGAAATCGAGTTATCAAAAATTTTTTTTTTATTAACGGCTGCTGTTGCTGTGGACAATCACGATTGACCACGTAACCGTTCCTCCGCTTCGTTTCACCCGTATACGTTCATATGCATACCAGGCTTGCCCCTTATTCTTTCTTAGAAAGGAAAGAGACGGTAAATCGAATGCTAGCTCGCGCGTTCCTTCTCGCCTTTGCTCGTAGACTGACTGGACGTGGAAAACCGGTTTTAAGGTAAGTCGTGCGACTGGTTTCGTGTTTAATAATGGTACACGTTTTCGTTCCCCGTTATCAAACTACGTTATAGATACACGAATCGGGAATAAAGAAAGAAAGAGAGTGAAATACAGTTTTGTCTACCAACTATTCCCGAGTAAATCGAACTAATCACGCAAACTTATAACTCGTTTAATAGCGAGGTAAAAATAGAATGATCTCAGGAAAAGTTGTTCTAAATATCTCGATTGACTAAATAAAGAATACTAACCTTCCGATCCAGTCGCACTGGTCTGCAATGGTTTGAAGAGCAACGTGTTCGTAGGTTGGGGCCGATGACACGATGCTAATAAGCAGCAACGAAAATAGCAAAAGCAACGAACGAGCGTCGAAAGTGAGCATTCTTTCTCCTTGATTACGAATCGCTTCGCTTCGACTAAATTTCGACGGCGCACATTTCAATTTCCGTGCGTTTTATCATCGAATCCTTCGATGGTTTTTGGTCCAGTGATCAGATTTTCAAGTTCATTCGTTCCGATCGGAAGACATTCTCGTACTCGTAATCGTTAGTTCTTCAACGTTACAGGAGGAACGTTCGATAAAACGGTTTGTTAAACAAGAGATAAAGATGAAGGTATTTAAATCGGTGACAGAGTTCACATTTAGTCTTTGCTTTTTCGGTTCTAACCTTCCGTTTTAACGCGATACCATCGTTATTGCCATTTCTGGTTTCTCAAAACCATTACCATCGTTAACGAGACACGGTCCAAGATGAACGTTCGTTAAAAATGTTCGACAGATTATGGACAACTTTGTTGCGCACTTCACTCTCGCGAAATGCTTGCTCTCGTTTCTGCACTGAACCTTTCAGTCGCGCGATCGTACGATCGTTTATGCGCAGCTAACCACGTCGAATATACCCGAAGAATCATGCTTACCGTGCGACGAACGCGTGAAAATCTGCTCGCTTTCTACCGAATGATCGTCTGCGACCGATCGTACGAACTCTGACACGCAACTGGTACATACGCGATTATTTTCTAGTACGCTATGCAATTCCGTTCCATTTCATTCCGTTCCGTTCCGTTGTTCGCTTTCTACCTTCCCCGTTATTCTTTTCACACCGATGCTGGTTACTCGTTTGCTCCGACTCAACTCGTTTGTCTTCTCGCTTTCATCTTTCTTCTCTCTTTCCTCTCCCCACCAACTGCCATTATCATTTCTCCCTTTTGTCCGCTCTTTGTTTCCTTCCATTGCTACGTCTTTCAGGATGATAAAAATATGCATTCTGGTTCGTGGGTGTTGCGACCGAACGTTTATGAATATTGCAGAATGAAAACGATAATAAACGAGTGTACTCTCCTACTGTACCATTTCCTGTTTTTCCATTTGATCTTCCTAAACTATTTTTTACGAATGTTGAACAGTTGTGATAGTTACAAATTCTTTTTCCAAGCAACTTAACCTGAAAGCCGAACGTTCTTTTTGTATGAATTTTGACAACCTTCGATGTAAATATGGTTTCATAAAAAAATCAGAAGAGTAAAGAGGAAGAAAGGAAACGCTTACGCCTCCGCAAAAAATGTTTCTCGATCTACGTATCCTGGTATACGTTCAGCGGGACAAGCGTTGTAACATGATATACCCAACGTTTTCATTGCAATTTTATAACGATCGAGCGATATAAGATCCGAGGTACCAGGATTAACATTTTGGAATACCGCTTCGATATGACTAATGTAGAAAATGAACTTTAATTTGATATTAAAGTAAATATAATATCCGTATACCTCTTCATCCAAAATAGTCGTGGATGTTTATTTCCTGATCTGAATAATATACAATCGTCGAGTAGTTGATGCAAGTATTCGATAGGATCTGTCGGTCGGTTAACAATCAAATGACCAAGAAGAAACCGGAATAAATCGAAAATTTTTCTTTCCTGTAGATAGTTTCGAGTTGCGGATAACGTACTTCCCTGTAATTACATATCTCATAATTTATACTCGTTGAAATAAACTTGATAAGCGTATCGGAATAATGGTTTCGCAACGAGTGGTAAAAGTGATACATTTACTTCCGTAACGGGCTGCTGAAATTCGGTTTTACGTTCCAATTTTTTAACTTCATCGCACATGCAACTCTTTACACTATTATCCATTTTTTTCCTCTTCTTTTGTTTATAATATACTTATTTATTCTTGTAATATTATAATTATAATTTGGATACTTTCGTCTTATAATTAAATACAATCTAGAAAAGAAAGTAACCGGAAAGACAAAAACTAGAATGTTCTCGAAAAATATGTGCAATAGTAAATACTGATTTTGTTTTTAAAAGTCTTATTTTCATTGTCATTTACGCCTTGAAAGTGAAGAAACTTACATACTATCATGAGTAACAGTTTTCAGTCTCGTATTCACGAGCTGAAATGTATATATGTTGCAATTAAATTTCCAGTTCGATGTAGGTGTTAATTTTGTAACATTCAAGTAGAATTTTACGTGTGCGCTAAATGAACGTAAAGAATCGTGCTGCTCTCTGTAGACTGTTATAAGAACTACGAAATAGAAAACGGCAAGTTCAGGTTTCTTCATAGTATGAACTTAGTAGCATTTTCATTTTCATCGCTTGGTTCTGCTGAGTACTGCTTGATCCTACTGTTTTCAGTGTATTTAGTTGGTGCATGACAATCGTTTTTCGATCATGTGTATACCATAGAGAGCATTACATTCTTACAGGTTTCAGAATAACAATTTACACGTAAAAAAACGTACTTCTGAGTGAAAGGTGATTGCTCGCTCCTTTTAATTCAATCTAACGATTTATCGGAGGTTGAAAGTTACATACTTTGTATCTTATAAATATTTCAAACGAGTTAAATCGGTAAGTTATCAACATATTTCACGTGTGACTTTGCATGATTCATATTTACTGTTGTCTCATTTGATATTTTTGAACAGAAAAAATATACACCATGCCTGAAAGTACCATAGATTCTGGTAAAATCGTGAAAATGGACGTGGATTATAGCGACAATTGCGATACCAAAATCCCAGAATGTAAAAAACTGGCACGAGAAGGAAAGTTACATGATGCTTTAGATCAGTTGCTCACTTTAGAAAAATTAGCAAGAACGGTAAAGCTTTGTCATAATATTCTACTTGATTTTGTACAAGTTTCTCTCTATGTCAAGATAGTTCATTTTATGCATATTTTAGAGCACGGATGTGTCATCTACATCACGAATTCTTGTAGCGATTGTTGAGATTTGTTTAGAAGCAAAAAATTGGTCAGCATTGAATGAACATATAGTCTTGCTATCCAAAAGACGTTCTCAGTTAAAACAAGCTGTTACCAAGATGGTTCAAGAATGTTGTACTTATGTGGATAAGATGCCTGATAAGGAAACAAAAATTAAATTGATAGAAACTTTGCGTGCAGTTACAGAAGGAAAGGTAATCTTTCTCTACTAATATTTTAAAGTTATTGTCTTAAATATGTTTTGAGAAATTCATATAATTGCCTGGTTTCAGATATATGTTGAAGTCGAAAGAGCTAGGCTTACTCATCGTTTAGCAAAAATCAAAGAGGAGGATGGAGATATATCAGGTGCTACTGCAGTTATGTTAGAATTACAAGTATGTGTTTTAAAAGAAGATGCAGATGTATCAAAAATTCATAATAATTATATTACTTTATATCTCTTATAGGTTGAAACATACGGTAGTATGTCGCGTTTGGAAAAAGCGTCTCTTATCTTGGAACAGTTGCGACTATGTTTGGCAAAGAAAGATTTTATGCGTACTCAAATAATTGCTAAGAAAATAAATGTTAAATTCTTCAACGACGAGAATGATGAAGAAACGCAGACCCTGAAACTAAAATATTACGAGTAAGTGAACTATCTCGGAGTATCTGGGTTTGAGTGAACTTTTAAAAATGTTACACAATCGATTATAAAGATTCGTTTATTTCCAGTCTAATGATGGAATTAGCTCGGCACGAAGGCTGGCACTTGGAATTGTGTAGGCATAACCGTGCCGTGTTAGAAACTCCAGCCGTCAAAGATGATCCGAAAAAGAGGCACACTGCTCTTTCCCGAGCTGTCCTTTATCTCGTACTTGCACCGCACGAACCGGAACAAGCTGATTTAACACACAGACTACTTTCGGATAAACTTCTGGATGAAATACCAACATACAAGTACTATACATTCACTTTTTCAAAAATCCAGAACAGTTAGTTTCTATTTTCTACGTCAACGAGTATATATACGTACGTATATATATTGATACTTTCTAGGGAGCTGTTACGCCTATTTGTAAATCCAGAATTGATCAAATGGTCCGGTCTTTGTGAAATTTACGAGAGAGAGTTAAGGGCAACCGAAGTTTTTACTGCTTCGACCGAAGAAGGTTGTAAACGATGGACCGATCTTCGAAATCGTGTCGTGGAACATGTAAGTTTATTAACGAAATCTAACATTTTATTCTTTTTATCATTAGATTATCGTTGGATCTCGGCTCTGTTTTCGTTTGATTTTACAGAATATCAGAATTATGGCTAAATATTACACGAAAATCACTTTAACTCGAATGGCCGAGTTACTGGACTTACCGGTTGAAGAGACAGAAGCGTGTCTTTGCACTTTGGTAGAAACTGGCGTAATTAATGCTCGAACGGATCGTCCGGCTGGTGTAGTTCGTTTCACAGGAACACAGGAACCGGCTGCTCTGTTGGATGCCTGGGCCGCTTCGTTATCAAAATTAATGAGTCTTGTAAATCATACGACGCATCTTATACATCAAGAAGAAATGTTGGCTGTTGCTCAATCCTGAGAGGTAAATTTCACTTTCCCGTTTTCTTTATTCCTCCTTCTATATCGCTTGTTTTTTCTATAATCCTTACGCATTAGAAACAGTGCATTTTGTACATTAACAAACTGTACGTGTTATTTTCGTTGGACGAAGGAATTGTGTAAAAATATCTGTCTCCTCGTTGTTTTTAATGCGTGTACTAAAAACAGAATAAACGGTGTACGAGACATGTAGTGTCTTTTCTTAAAAAAGAAAACTTTTCTGTTTTTTTATTCACCTTACCAATTAATAATAGTTACAGTTAATGGTCCTGTACATTTTGCCAGTAATAAGATTTAACGCTCGTTCTTATCCTGTTAATCGTTATTATCGTACGATACGTTTCATAAATTGCTGTATATTAATGTGATGTATCGTGTTTCATTTAGAATACGAATAAAACTAGGATAAAAACTTTAGAAATGCAGTGCTGCATTCTTATCATATAATTATGAAAGGTTTTAACGTTAATTACATTTAATCATCAGTATCAACTATCAAATACTATTAACGTCAACTATCGATAGTAAATATCGTAGCACGATTCAAACTATTCGTTCATTTTGATTGGTTAAATATGATTCAGTTAAATAACACATTATATAAAAATATTTATATGTACAATCCATCGTTCTTACGAAAATATCTAAGCCTTAATTACGAATTAACCGGCATTAAATACTCGAAATGAAATTATCGTAAGTTTTATTTTACACGTTTTCGTAATTAAATGATTTCGAGTATATCGGTCATCCAATCGACATTTTAACTAAGTACGAATGTGCTGATTTTATAACGATTTACCCTTATTTGTTTTTCAATGCGCCACGCGATGGAGAAAATCCTCCTTTATGCGTTAGTTTTGTGTTTATGGTAAAAAAGAAACTTATTCAATGTAAATAGAAATAAGAGGATATAAATGAGTCCTTCTTAAGGCAGAAGGACAAGTTGTGATTGTTTGTAGCCATCGATCTATTGATCGAAGAAAGTATCCATTTCAAGGTTTGTGCCTGATATTTTGGGCAGTAGCAATACCATTACAGGAGACAGATCCACAATTTGTTTTGGCGTCTAAAATGAAAATAAAAATGTTTATTGTATATCCATTATATCTTGAAATGTAATAATAGATTGTAACAAATAAAAGAGTATTTACTATTTTCTATAGTCTTATGTACAAGAGCTATTGCTTCTTCGTAAGAAGGCGGAGGTAATTCGTTGGATGTTTCATGGGCAATCACTTCATACGAAGGTGGATTTGAAGATATTGTACCAATGTGCTGCATATTACGAGTACCTGCTAATTCCTGAAAATATAAAACACTGAAACTATATGTATTGTAAAAATGAATGAATTATTTTTATTTTAGTTTGACACTGTATCTCAATACTTTTAATATCCGTATTATTATGTGTGATTTAAATTATACATATATTTATCGTTGGTTAATCTAACCTTTCATGTCTGAACGTGAATACAATACGTACATAAATACGATTTTAGAAAATCAATCTTTTTACAAATTTAAATGCTGTATGATTGGTAATTATAGAATCGTTGCAAAAAGTGTAAAGTTAATGTCGTTGAAAAGAAATGGCCGATAAATATTTAACTTACCGGAACAGAAGCAAATTAGATACACATAATACTTACTCTAAACAATTGTCGTCGATGAAAAATTAGTTGTATAACCGATTTTCTTCGAAGATAAAGCATACACTTGACAGCGACCATTAATCCAGAACAGATGAATATTGGACCGATAAACCACATGTGACCAAGTTTCAAATATATGTATCCCTCTGCGATATCATTCAAGGAGAAAATAGTGATAGCTGCACCAATAGTAAATAGAATGACGCTCAAGGCAAGATAACTATAACTGGTACAATCGCAAATGTCGAAAGTATTTGCCGATTCTTCATATTGTTCTTCGATACGATGTAATCTGTTCGATAAGAACGAACTTTCGAAAACCGTGGCCATATTTCTTTGACGGTAACCGATACAAAATATAAAAGACTGAAATTGGTTCAGTAGAAGCAATCCATAATAAACTACTATCTATGCCCTATGGTCTGCTATGGTGTATTTGATTCTTTGCCTTTAATTGTGTATACATATAAATACATACGTAAACTAAGAATTAGTGTAGCACAAATTCCTTTCTGCAAATAAGAAAAAATATCTGTGATTTTGATCACATTTTATGTCGGTTACAAGTAAATAAATAGTATGAATGTTTATCCCGAAGATTAAAAACATCTATGTATATATATGTACAGAATTAGTATGCTTAGGTATGTAAATTTTACGAGTATTCTTTCACTGATAATTATGATAATAAAATATGACAATTGTTTGTTTCTTTTTACCAGGAAAATCATGGTTATATAGTTATATACATTTGCACAACAACATCAAGACATATTTTACTAAATTTATTACAAGGAAATACATAACTGGTATTTTGATGTAATAGATTGTAAACCAAAGATGCGTTGCTATTATCATGAAAATATAAATATGTATAGATTTTTATTTGGACAACAACGAACATTAGTTACGACTCCAATACTGAGAACAGTAAAAAAGAAATTGGAGAAAAAAAAAGATAAATATTCAGATACCATTTTACTTCCTTATACAAAATTTCCAGCACAATTAAGAGGAGAAAAAAGAATATTGGCAGATGAATATCTGAATAAAGTGAGTAACTTTACAGCAATAAAAGACTCTTATCAATTACAAGCATTATGTAATCTCTTATTGTATTTATTTTTATGGTACCATTAAAAGAATCGTGGTTTCTTCGATTTATACGAATGGCAAAGAACCAATCTTAAAGGAGCAGAATATGTTTTACATGATGGACCTCCTTATGCGAATGGAGTTCCACATATGGGGCATACTATTAATAAGGTTTAACTTAATATACAATTTGTTTTATTTAGAGAACAATGTATGAGTAATATCAATATTTAATTTTTAAATTTTTATGCAGATACTTAAAGATATAACATTGAGAAACAAAGTTCTTTGTGGAAATCGTGTTCATTATGTACCAGGATGGGATTGTCATGGTTTACCAGTTGAGTTAAAAGTTGTTAAAGATAATAATCTAAATGATCCTTTAGCTATTAGACAAAAAGCTCGTGAATATGCAAAAGAAGTTGCTATGAAGCAAATGCAGGCTTTTCAGTCATGGGGCTTGATGGCTGATTGGAAGGAATCTGGTTGTTATTTTACTAATCAACCCTCGTACATGAAAAATGAACTACATCGGTTTTTAGACATGTATGAGAAGGGTGTTGTGTTTAGGAGCTTTATGCCAGTTTATTGGTCTCCTTCTGCTAGGTAATATGCCAGAATTAATTCTTATTTTGAAAAATTAATATCCCTCTAACTTTTTCAATCATAGAACAGCACTGGCAGAGTCCGAATTAGAGTACAATAAAAATCATCAAAGTAAAACTGTGATTGTTCGACTACGTGTCAGTGATTTACCCAAAGAGTTGAATTCATTCAAGGACCGTACTGTCTACGCGTTAATATGGACAACTACACCATGGACTTTAGTAGCTAACCAAGCTATATCTTTCTCTAAAGATGCCACATACTGTCTCGCGGAAGATGCTACAGGAAATTTGAACATTATTGCAGAAAAATTGTTAAAAGATGTAGAATCAAAGATTGGAGCTTTGAAAGTAGTAGCATGTTTGGAAGGTGTGTATCATTTTGAGTCTTTCAAACATGTAATTTTAAACTGTTAGTAACGAGATTAAAAATCTTTTTAGGCAAACAATTAGAAGGTAGCACATATTTTCATCCTTTCAATGAAGAGAAGTTACCATTTTTAGCTGGGAAACATGTGACAACGGACGTCGGAACAGGCCTAGTTCATACCGCCCCCGCACATGGACCAGACGACTTTTTGGTCGCACTTGAAAACAACATGAACATCGTAAACTATTCGTTCATATTTCTTTCTTATCTGTTCTTTCCATTTATTTGAAATCTCAATAATTAATGACATTGCATTACAGACGTCTTTAGTGGACGCAGAAGGTCGATATACTGATACTGCTGGTTCGAAGTTTTCTGGATTGAATGTATTAACAGAGGGAAGTGATAAAGTTTTGAACATTTTGGCTCAAGATGTATTGCACGTCGAGATGTTAACACACAGTTATCCATATGATTGGCGAACGAAACAACCAGTAATTATTCGAGCTAGCAATCAATGGTTCATTGATATTAATCGTATCAGAGACAAAGTTATCGTAAGTTATTTCTGTTAACTCTGTGTAAAATGATAGAAAACTTAATACGAGAAAATAATAAGTAACTTATTTTAATTTTATAAGGATAGTCTAAAGAGTATAGAAATATATCCAACATGTAATCGATCACCTGTTATGAACGCTTTATTAAATGCAGTAAAGAACAGACCATATTGGTGTATTTCGCGACAACGTTGTTGGGGAACTCCGATACCTGTACTTTACAGTAAGAAGACAGGGAAAATGTATACAAATAAGTAAGTACATCGTTTGTAGTGTACGTTGTAGTGTACATTTCTATGTATTACTTTTCATTCAATCTTTATTTTTTACGTTTTCCTTTTCACAGAGAATTAGTTGAAAGTTTGTGTCATTCAATAGACCAATACGGTCCTGACTATTGGTGGAAATACTCGGTGGAGGATCTGGTAGGATCAGATGTCCTTCGAGGATTGAATATTGATGTTGATGACGTGGAAAAGGGAAAGGTGAATTTGAGTTAAATGTTTATTTCACAATACTTAAATGTTCATGATTTTTGTTTGACGACTTAAAATTCTAGGATATTATGGATATTTGGTTTGATAGTGGCATTTCGTGGTCAGCAGTTCTACCAAAAGGTAAAGCAGATCTTTATATGGAAGGACACGATCAATTTAATGGCTGGTTCCAGTCGTCCTTGATAACGTCTATAGCTTTACAAGATCATTCACCCTATAGGTAACCATAAATTTGAAGTTTGAAAATGGAATATAATATTAATATAGAGTCATGAAACCGATACGTATTTTATTTATTTTTTAGTGCAATATATGTACACGGATTTGCGGTAGATGAAAATGGCTTAAAAATGTCTAAATCAGTTGGAAACGTAGTAAATCCTGAAGATCTTTTACGGGGCGGGTCGAATTCGGCGAAAAATCCAGTATATGGTGTCGATGTTCTAAGGTAATAAAACAAACAAGTTTGAATATGATGAAGCGCTATTTTGAATCGTATTGTTTCAATATTTTCTTAGGTGGTGGGTTACTAATCACGGAGCTCAGCACTCTCATGTTCCAGTTTCGAAAGAGTTACTCGAGAAAAGTCAGTACTGTATTAATAAACTGCGTTTGATAGTACGTTTTCTCCTAGGTGCGTTGCATTATCGTTGCCCAGACGCGAATCTCAAACCAGAATATCGAACTATTGACAAGTACATGTTGTACTTGCTGTATTGTTACAGTAAACAGGTAATATTGGTTAAAAACATGATGAGTATACCCGCTACCATAAATTTAACAGTTATAATAATGATTATTAGGTACAACAATATTACGACAACTACGAGTATCCTACTGCATGCAGAACTATAATGAATTTTATATCAAATGATGTATCTGCTTTATACTGCACTCTAATAAAAGATAGACTTTATTGCGAAGAAGTAACATCTCCGATGCGTATTTCCGTGGTAAAAGTGATGGAAGCAATTCTAAATGTCCTTGTGAGAAGTATTGCTCCGATTGTACCTCATTTAGCGGAAGAAACATGGCTATATTATCACGGATATGACGGTAATATTCTTAACAATAAAACTAAACAAAACATTTCCGCAATGAAAATGAATGTTTCTAATCACAGAATCAGTAGAACCATTGCATCACACAAAACCCTACAAAGTATTGGATTCTTGGAATGTACCAGAAACTGCAAAGCAAATGGACGCAGCGCTTCAACTGAGAAAGTATTTGTTGAATAACACTAACACAAATACGTGGAAACTGCATGGTATCATACAAGCAACATCAGAAGATTTTATCTATCTTTCTGTAAGTATAAACAAAGACGAAAAATGAAAAAATGATACTGAATCATCGTGTGTTTGTTTACAGCATCTTCAGAATGAAAAACGGTCGTCGGTATCTGAATTGTGTGAAATACTACAGTTAAGTTCGATAACGTTAATAGAAAATAAGTCGCTGGAAAAATCAGAAATCGAAATACATGATATATCGATAACACTATGTCAACGATGTAGGAGATTTTCAAACATTGATAATAACGGTTTATGTCTGCGTTGTGTCAATACAATTTGTAAAAGTAACTTGATGACTGCGAGGTTATAATATGGTTATTTTCGTCGCTTGAAGACGCACGACTTTTTACCAATTGCAAATGAATGAAATAGTATATTTTGTAATTCTGAAGAAAGGAAAAAGGTGAATACTGCAAGAGGATAGTGATACTCGATTTTGTAATGAGAAGAAAATTTATTAATGTCCCGAAGGAGCTGCCGAACCTCGGTTAGTCTTAACGGTTATGTCATACAGATGGTTAATGTTGAGAGCATTTAAAAAATGCATTAAATGTGGTTGGTATCCACTCGTAGCTAATTTAAACACAACATGTGCCATGTATGCTCGTAATTCGCAAAATGCTCGATACATTTGTTCCAGTTTTTTAAAATTGGGATGTACGTATCCTGAAGATTTTGCAACCCAATTGTGAGATCTCAATCTATTGTGAAATTTCAAAATGACTTTGAATATGTTGTTCAAACAGACGCGTACTTTCTCGCCGCGACTGTTTAGCATACATCTGTAAAAAAGTCAAAGAGGAAAAGAAATTAATAAAAAAAATATATCAATACATTTTTGGTCATTTTTTTATACAATCATAAAAGAGGCTTACCGTGAAAGTATCCGTTTTATGTAGTTAACGTGTGACAAATAAATTTGATCGACGGTCAATGAGTTTTCCAAATCTAATTCGAATTCGGCCCAACTTGCATGTAAGATACTACACGTTAAATAATTGTGCAAAGCGTTCATGAACTGTGTCATGGCGTGTCTATATAATTGCAGCTAGAAATTAAAAATCATAAATTAGAACTATGAAGGAAGAAAATTAAATTAGATATTTGTAACTATATCAAACATAGTACATAATACATACTTTATGATATTGCTCCGATTTCATTGCTTTTCGTTCCCCTTTCATTACATTGAAGTCTTCTTGCAATACCCACGAGACACGGCCGCTTGTTATCAGAAATTTAAATATTCTACTATATTGTTGCATGACCGTTTCATCAAGTATGATATTGAGAGGCCAACTGATTTTATAATTAAGAGAAAGACAATCCAGCGCAGTGGGATCGGATATCTGTAAAAAAGTAATTATGTTGAAGATGACAACAAAGAAAAAGAAAATAGATAAGTGCAGAAGTGAGATTTACGTGTAACTGAGCCGGCGTGTCCGTCGCTGAGAGACTGAGTAGTTCCGAGTTTATATAAACATTGTTAAAAGAATGAACGAGCGCTCGTTCCAGGAGATTAGTCAGCGTGGCTGAATTAAACAATTCGATAGGCACGGAGATCTGGTACAGTCGAGTGTAAAGAGAATCCGTTAAACTCTTGGCAAACTCTCCATTTAATAAGAAGAAATAACTACGAAGACTGTGTAAGTGCGACAGCAAGTTATTCTCCTTCAGAAAGTATTTAATGATGGCATTGTTAATTAAACGACTTTGTATGTCAAGAGGAATACGAATTGATTTTTCCAAATAGCTTTGAAGAGAAGTATGGTCGATTATCTCGACGTCGGCTACGGTCAAAGGAGCTGTTGCTGATGGCGATGAAAACGTGACACTCGGTGTCTTAAGCATACGAGTTAATCCAAATATCTCTGGAAACGTTGTATCTTCTTTTGTCGTTACTGGAGATTTCGTAATCGTGTACGAGGAGTTTGATGCCACGGTATTTGAGATTTCCATTGGAGATTCGCTATCTTCCGTATTGCACAGAGTGGAATACTGTGAAACGGGACTCTGGGCCGACCAAGCAGAATTATCCGTAGTGGTACACGACATCGGTGTTTCCAAATTGTTTTCATCAAAATTTGTATCTCTGACATAGTACACGTCCTTTTTCGACTCGAGTGCGATTTTCATCCGCTGTACGTCAACCTCGTTGTTATTTGGCGTCATAGTACACTCCAACGGTCCTAATAACACTTTTTGATTGGTGTCCGGCACTATCGTTGCATCATTAATATTGAGAATGTTTAAGAAAGTAGGTCTTTCAATTTCTGATGATCGATCTGTGCAATCGACCGAAAATTGTTTCAACGTAGTTGGTCCTGTTGGTTCTTTAAAATCATTACATTCAGTATTCCTCATTCATAATTCATAAAGGAAGATCATTTTTTAATTACCTTTAACGTACGGTTTAAACGTCAGATTCGACGTAAACGCTTGATAAGTAGTTGCATAATTTTTATTCTCGTCTTTAATCGGTGTCTCATTACCAGAACTTTCGTTAATTATTTCCAACTGATTTCGCGATTCCAGTCTCGATAAAGTTAACGCGTCGATTCTTTTCTCGAAGAATGTCATTCTTTTAGCACGCCATTGAGAACGCATGTAACGTTTATCGAGATCGTTATTCAGGTTCTCATAATGACTCAATAGATCTGTTTTCTGAGCAGCAATCAATGAATTTCTGAAATCACAATAGTTTTGAATTCATTCAATTCGAATAGAGACTATACGTGATTACTTTTGTACAATACCGTTCAACGTCATACTGTGAATTTTCTTTTATTATATTGCCCTGTTTGTCGAGTTCAGTACGTAACAGCGTATCATCTGATGACTCTTTCTCTATTTCTTGCTGTTGCGAGTCACTCTTTGATATTTGATCCTTCTCCATTGTTTTTAAAATATTTCCTGCTTCTTATAAAGAACCAAATTTTGTATAAACATTAAACATATAATTTAATATTGATTTACTATAATTTAAGAATTCACTTTTCCTCTCACCCTGAATTCTACACGTTGGTTCATTTTGTGCCGGAACGACGACCTTTGACATATTCTTCTCCAGTATTTTTTGATTCGAAATAGCCGTAGAAAGAGAAAACACTGGACCAAGAGCAGATTTACCTTTCCTTTCATATTCTCGGCATCTTGATAATTGTTCACGTAGCGTGTTCACACTCAAACAAACTTTTACTTCGGGTTGTTCGGTTGTGCAAACACGACACACTGGATTCTAAATTTTCGACATGATACGATCTTTTCTGGCGGACAACATTCGTACGTTATGATCCTTCGAGTATGCTTACCTTTGGATCGCAAGTTCTTAAAAGTCTTACTGTTTTCCCACACTGAAGTATCGATTCCGTCAAATCCGTCAAAAATCCTGGAACTGCATCGTTACAGACACCGAAACTTTTCGTCCAAAATTTGTGTCCTCGGTTGCGCAGATATTGTGGTCGAATTTTGATCATAAATTCTCCGTAAATGTCATCGCATATTCCTTCGAATATCCATTTCTGTAAAAACCTAAAACCAATTAGGCTTTATTTTATTCCTAGCACTTGGAATGGAAATAAACATGTGTTTCAATTGTTACATTTCTTACTACTTCTCATCTAATACATACCGAAAGTAAACTTCACAGCAAGATTTCAATAAAGAATAGAATACTAAAGCGAGTTTGCTGTCGGTAACTTTGATGGCTTCGTTATAAATCCTGGTAAGAATTCCATTTCCTTCTCGATGCGTGTTCTGATGTTGTTTGTAAGGTTCACAAACTTTGGCAAGCTTAGTAATTAAGGAGGCTACCGAACGCACATTTCGTAATAATTTCAGTAATGTTTCCGATTTGTTTTCGCAGGTAAAAATTCTTAAAAGTACTGCTTGATAATAAAGCAGTACTTCTTTGATGCTTGTACACATGGCCTAAAAATATCACAACCGTCACAACCTGATACTAAGAATATCACAACCATAAATTTTTCTGTCTCATATTAATCAAACCTTGAATATCAGTCCTTCTTGCTGCAATTTACTGCTTTCTGATTTCGATGTAAGCTGGGATAGTGACATAAAGCAGTTACCCCATTTTATTGCATCCTGGCAAGTTTTTTCTAACGATTCCGAATATATGCCATATACGCAAATATTTTTCCGCAGGGTAAATCCCGTCTAAAAAATTTCCATTGATTAATTGCGTTTTACGATAGCAATAGATACACATACATACCACATGTTTATACTGAAAAGAACTTGATTCTATACCGAGTAACATTAATTTCAGATCATTGATGAAATCCTTGGCGGAGACTTCTTCCGGAAGAGATACGGAATTCATGATCTGTATGGAAGAAAAAATAATTTTTTTACTTGTATCATATGTTTGACGTTGCATATTTTACCTTTTCTGAAAGTAAAGGCAAACTACTTGTTTGGTTCATTTTCGCCAGATGTATCGCTGCAGCTAACGTGTCGGTTACAAACATTGGTTCTTTGGGAGACGCGATCTCTCCAAAATATTCCCACGTTTGGTAATCCAAAGAAGTATCGCTAAGGTCAACCCGGTTACATGCAGAATTCCAAATATCCGAGGTGATAACCGGTTCATCATCATTGTTATATTTACTAGATTTCCATGTGCCCGTAAGATTTTCATTTTCTTCAGTCTGTTCTTCAATCTGTTGTATAAAGGACATAAATAATTTGTAGAAATTCTTTTTCCCATGGACTTTTCTCTATCATGTAATTTAAAAATTATTTCCTACCACAGTGTCTTGTAAAATACACAAACTTGATTCTGAATTTATTGTAAAATGTCCACTTGGTGATAGTAATGCTTGTGAGGAGACTGTATCAAATGCATGATTGGACATGAAACCTGGTGTAATAGATATACTGGAACACATGAAAGTAAAATTAACAATATTTAGGTAATGATAAATTTACTTGTGTTTCCTTGTTACTTACTTGTTGGGCTCTATTCCAAGAATGGCTTTGGATTTTGGTGCATCATGTAAGAAATGTTGTTCATTAATTGTATTTGAAGGCATAATTGGTGTAATTTGAAACCTTTCTGTTTTTAATGTTGCTTCAAATTTATCTGATGACATAAAACATTCCATGGGATATACTTGAAACGGTGTTACATTATTGGTAGTGTATGTGATTTCGGGTATGGCAGGATTTGTTTTGCCATAGTAAAATATATTCTAGAAATTGTAATGAAATGTATGAAAATACATGAAATTTTATCCATAATTGCTATAGTTAACATTTGATCTTTACTATTATTGGTTCAGGATTAGTGGTGTAACTTTTTAACTGCATTAATAATTGCAACGTTGAAAGAACTTGCAACTCAGAGTGTGAATATTCTTCTACTTCTTGCAGAAGATTTTCCAATGTGTTAGCATCATTTACATGCTTCAATTCTAGTTTCAACACAAAAGCATATTTCTGTGCCTCTACTAATGGATCTACCTGCTCATGATCCTTGTAACCTGTATGAACAAATAATAACAAAGATGAAAAGTGGTTGATCACAAAATAGAACATACCATGACAAAACATCAACTGAATCAACAAGTTGCTTACCACTATTCTTTAACAATATTTCAAATGCTTTGGTTCGAAGATGTTTAACCATTTTAATATCATGTTCATAACTAAATGGAATATTTCCATAAACAGATCGATATGTTTGCAATATGTGTCTACTTAATTCGGTAACGAGACCGTAAACACTAGTATCGTCTTCTTTGTCGTTCATAATTGTTTACGATTTGCATTCGTTAACAATTAAAAAATAAAATACAATGATCCACATTTGTAGTATTTCATAGGATCTGTTACACTGTCCTTAATTTCAGTTGTTGCATATGTATACATATATTACACATATAAATATACATTATGTACACTCGTGTAATTGCCTAAATGTCAACGAGAAGTGAGGTTATACCAAAATCAATAAAACTGTATATGGGACAGTTGTAAACAATGGCACTTCGAAGATACGAGACGAATCGTATTTAATTGGAAATATACAATTTTCGATTATTCTGTAACTCTGATAAAGATATTTAAAAGATATAACAATTTCTAGTCATTAACTTCACTACCGCCAGATATCTTATCACGTTAGCGCTATTATTTTGCGTTCAAATTGAAAGTTACTGCGCGCCTATGCATCACGTGATACATTTGTATCATTCGAATTATAAATCATCAAACAGCAAGGTATGTTTCTTCGTGTAAGTTGAACAGTACGAAACAGCAAGGAAGCATAGTCGTGGTAATACATGCGTACATTGTATCTGTAAGCAAGCGAAAAAGGAAAGTAAGTATTACTCATATATTATGTCTAAGATATTACCTGCGAATTCAGGTTAGTTATTTCATTGTATATAGTATATATAGAGTCTATTATATTTACTATATTTATCTTTCGACTGTAAATAATCAGTATCTCGAATATCAACAACGTGACAATAACAACGTCGGTAAACGGATGACATAATGATGAAATAAATTATAAGATAGGTACACATGTTTTCTTACTTATGTACTTGCGTTTAAATTTGTATTATAAAAACCGATGAAACTAATAACTAACCTATCGATATTTTTTATGTTATTTTTATTAGTATTTTGAATGTTGATGTAGTAAATTTGTAGATCGGTTAATTGGCTGATTAGTCGGTCAATCGATCAGTCGATCGTTCGTTCGGTCGGTCGGTTGGTCGATCGGTCGGTCAGTCAGTTGGTCAATCAGTCAGTTAATCGATCGATTACTCGATCGGTTGCTCAATGAATTTAGCGAGTATTTTCGTTAGGTTCGTAGTGAAAAGTAACGTAAAATTTTCATGTCTTTCTCGTTAATGGTATTATCGATGATATTGACCGATATCAATCCATGGCCTGGGTCGGATACTAGAATTTTGACTCGTCATTCTTACTCCTGTCCTATTCGTACAAACAGTGTTTCTTTCTCCGGCGGTAACTCACTCGTTCTCTATCCGCCATCCGCGTCTATGTATCTAGTTATCTGTTCGGTTATCTGTCTATCTATATCTATCTGTCTGCTTGTCCTTTTTCTCTCTCTCATTCTATCCCGAAGGAGGGTTTGCTCACTCGGTGCTATGTCTACGTACTCCCGTACTCAGGAGAGCGACGCGTGGGCCCTTCTGGCACTCAAGTCGGCACCGGCCAGTCCGACGAAGATGCAGTGGAACCCGGAGGCAAAGGGTGCACCGATTGCACGACTGGAGGGTCGCGAGTTTGAATACATGGTTAGACAGCGACGTATCACTATCGGACGTAACAGCAGCAGGGGTGAGGTCGACGTCAACATGGGCCACTCCAGCTTTATCTCGCGACGGCACCTTGAAATCTTTTATGATCACCCTTTTTTCTTTATGATTTGCAACGGTAAAAATGGAGTTTTCGTTGATGGAGTCTTTCAACGAAAAGGCGCGCCTGCCTTTCAATTACCAAAGACGTAAGATATATTTCCAACTTTTTACCTAGTCAACTTAACCTTTCTTGCACGTTTCTCGCATGCCAGTGGCACTCTCGTTGCAAGTTACTTACACGATGTCTCTCATAGTCAGTGGTACCGTTTCGATTCAATCGAAACGGTACGATTTGTCATCGCTTTACCGAACGAACGTTTCTGTCTTTTTTTTTTCTTAAATCCAATTGCAAAATTTACTTAGTAGTAAACAACTTACAATAGGAGTTATTCTATTCTGTTTTCAACAGAGAAAAAAATTTCAGAGAATTTGTTTCGGTCAAGCACAATGATACGATCATTAACTTCAATTTTTTTTTAAGATTCTCTTTAAAATTTACCTCTATGTTGAATGAATGTTTAACAGAACGACATTGCATGTATCGTTTGCATTTTCTGTTACAGATGCACATTCAGATTTCCAAGTACAAATATAAGACTGGTATTTCAGTCATTAGTAGATGAACAGGAGCAAAATAATGTACGCCTACCTTCTCCGCCGAAACATAGGGCACCATTGCCACCTTTACGTATCAATATTCCTGATACAGGATATAGCAGTCCGTTTCCTTCTCCTACTGGAACTATCAGTGCAGCCAATTCTTGTCCTGCTAGTCCACGTGCAGGTCAGGGAAGGAGAAACATATCGGCAGACCTTCAAATGGTGGCAGTGTATGCAGCTGCTGTTGCCAACGATCCGCAAAATTCAAACATGGAAAGACACGACGGAGGACAAAGTTCTAGCAGACAGATAAGCCCTGAACTTGGGGTAGAATCAAGATATAGGGGTGGAAGCAGTTCCGGACCAAATGGCACGACAGCAAATTGTAGTCCTCCAAAGGATGACTCTAAACCACCATATTCGTATGCGCAGCTAATTGTTCAGGCAATAGCATCTGCTACGGACAAACAGCTCACTTTATCCGGCATTTATTCTTACATTACCAAGAATTACCCATATTATAGAACCGCAGATAAGGGTTGGCAAAATTCTATAAGGCATAATCTTTCGTTGAATCGCTATTTTATCAAAGTACCAAGAAGTCAAGAAGAACCAGGAAAAGGATCTTTCTGGAGAATAGATCCTCAATCGGAAGCAAAACTCATAGAACAAGCTTTTAGAAGAAGAAGACAGCGTGGAGTGCCTTGTTTTCGAGCTCCTTTCGGTCTCTCGTCCAGGTACGTGCGTTTCTCGTACGTTGTAGTTAGTGTATAATGCTTTGAAAAAGTGAATGTGTCGGTCGATGCGACGATCGAAGGGGAAAAAATTGAAGTACTTGAAATGATGTAGGAGTGCACCCGCTTCGCCGTCTCACGTAGGAATTAGTGGGTTAATGACACCGGAATGCCTCAGTAGAGAAACGTCGCCGGGCCCAGAATCTTACCCGGATAGTTCCGTACCTTCTCCGGCTGGTCAGTTGACTAGTCAGTCCGCACCAGGATCACCCGGTCATCCATACGCGCCTTCGAATCAATCGTCTCATAAGGGTCGTCTAATGCAACAGATTACCGTCGTTACGAACGGTGTTACGAGTGATACAGCTAGAGAAGGTAATGTTTACTTTTAATTTGCTCATTTATTAACCTTTTAACTGTATCGCTGTTGAGCTGGAATCTAATCATTTTTCACACGTGATAAAAAACAAGGACGACAAATAATTTCTTTGGTACACAAAGAAAGATAAATTAATCTTTAATTATAAGCGGAAGCGATACAATTAAAGGGAGAAATCTTTAGATAAATGCATTATATTTTGTGTGTCTTTTGCTTGATAGATGAGTTAACTCGTCATTTAAGAGATTAATTTTATTTCTGTTCAAAGCTATTGGTGTTTTGTCACGATTGTGAAATAATAGTTATAGTAGTAGAGTATATAATAATAGAAATAATGTTAGAATTTTGTTTGTAGATAAGTACGTGGTATCCGGGAACGTGACAGAAGAACATTCTCTTTCACCGGCCGGTCAGTACAGTCCGGCTCCTGTTATCGTACAAACGACGTACAACTACAGGTATCTCTAGTTATTTCGTATGTATCGGTTGGATCGAAGAGCGAGAATTAATGATTATTTTCTGGTGTCGCGTGCAGCGGAAGCTTTATTGGTCCCGACGCAGGCGTCGGAGTTGCAAAGCGTTCGCACGAGGAATCGGATAGTTCTCCTGGTTCACCAGCCCCGCTCGCTATCGTCGAAAGTCCCGAGCCATCCGAGCACCAACAACCACAGACGAAACGTCAACGCGTTCACGATATGGACGATCATTGAATCGTTGTCCTGTGGCATCGTTACGTAGGACATTTGTTACATTGCGCTAATTCGTTCATTGATAAATATATCTGCACGCGCGTGTACCCCCTCATACCTGTTCGTGCGTACGCCCGTAAACGGGTACACGCTTTATACCCGAAACGTCGAATCCATGCCCATATCCATATCACGTCTTAAATTCACGTACACCCTCATGTTTGTGCGCGCGCGTACAAATACGTACTACACGTACACGTACACCCAATGCTGTACTGTCATTCATTTTATTACATAATGATTAGTTTAGTCCGCGTATGGATAAATACTCGACCCAGTTTATTGTTTTACGCAACAAGTGGGGACATTTTCATGCGAAGAAAGCGAGAAAACAACGTATTATTCCCACGTATCGTGTTCTAACTTGTATCGACATTCAGTTTGTCGGATCCTCTTCTTTTCTTCCTCCTCCATTTTTCTTTCTTTTTTTTGTCCTTTCTTTCGGATCTTCTTCCCCCACCCCGATTCCATCGTCGACAGTGTGTATTATATACGTATATGGTCAATCGAGTACATTTCCTTCGTTTTTTTATTTACAGTGTTGGTACGGGGAGACGACGCGAGATTTTGCGTATTCGTAGAAAGGAAAGGATTAATCGTTGCAAGACGATCGCATAGAAACGATATTGGATGAAACTTTACTAGGATGCGTATAGAAGAAGCAGTCGAATCTCAGTAGAAAAGAAAGGAGACGTTGCGTTAGAGCAGCCGGTGTCGTTAGTGGTGCGAAAAAAGCGAAAGATGTACCACTATCGTTCGGAAACGAATAAGTATATTCTTTGATTCGAGAAGGATCAAGTCGATGCAAAACCGTAAAGATCGTTCGGTTGGTTACACGTAACTGTTTTCGAATTTTCCTGTAAACGAGTTTTGGTCGAGCATGCAACTATCGGCGAAAAAAGGCTGGTACCCGTCTGTTTCTGTGATCCGGACTCGGTCGTCATCGTTTTGTCGGTTGATCGATCTATTGCTGTCGATTATTATGCCGCTAATCATGTTCATCGAGATGCTCGCAAATCATAGACACGAATCGTAGATCATAGTTGTGCGTACGATTCTACCAAGTTTCTATTTAAAAAAACAAGCAATAATTTTACGCTGAATACGTCGATCGAAATTTCTTTTTGACGTGCCTGTTTATCTAATGAAGATATTAACGTACTATAATCACACACAGGAAGAGGTGATAGTATTTTTGTTGCCACTTGTAAATAAACTCTTAAACGAATAAGTATCCGTCGTTTCGAGCTGTTTTCGTACGTCTCCTTAGCGTTATTGTCTACTATTTGTACAAATTCTATTCATTTTGTTATTCATCTTTTATAAATCGAACCTTTTATGGTCGAAACGCGGGAAAATTGGAAGCTGATCGCTCGTTTAAAATTTGTTAATCGCGACGAAGACTATTCTCACCAGGACGAGTTTATAACTTATATTAATCGGTCTCGAGTACAAACACGGTCGTTTTACGAGAACAGCGAATTTATTTCCGCGTCGTTGAAATCTCGAACTATTCGACGTCGGGGAAGAACAAAGTTTCCGTCCGATTCGGAAGGGTTCACGGATTGACTGCATCCTGATTAACGAAACCTCTTATTTCTACTTGTAGCCGTCGCTGTTTTGTTATCATTCATCCATACGTTTGATCTTTGCGTCCGCGCGCGAGTTACCTTTTTCTTTTTTACGTTTTTCGCGGGCGGTGTACCGTTAATACTATCGTTAATTTACCGATTGATTTCGAGCAAAATTAGAAAACTTGCAGGGGGACCACGACTTTCGAAGCACCGATTTCATTCAAACTTTGCATTAAACAATTCTGCAAAACCGCGCTCTCCAAAATGAAGCTCTCTGGTTTTGCAAGAATGTGTTCTATAATCGTAAAGAATGAAATCGGTCCGTAGGTCAGGAGGGCAAAGAAAAAAGGACGTTAAGATCGAAACTGGACTTAGATCAATTATTTGATATCGTACAAAGGATTCTCGGAATATGTGCGGTTGTCAGTTTCGGACGTGTATATTGGAGGGTCGCCGTAAAGGTACTTTTGAAATAGACGCGAGGGTAAAAGGGAGAAAAAGAAAAAAAGAGAGAAAAGGATCGTTAGAGAAAGCAGAAGCGAAACAGAGAGGGAAGCGAAGGGAGAAGCGAGGGAAGGCAAGAGGGAAAGCGAAGATAAAAGAGGGTGTAGCGAGTTTGCGCGACGTTCGACCCGAATCTCTCGTCGAACGATAAGCTAGCCAGCCAGCCAACCAGCCATCCAGCAAGCCAGCCAGTGAACCAGCCATCCAGCTATCCAAGCATCCAGTTAGCCGGTCAGCCGGACTGCTCCGATTTAGCCAACGTTTCGAGTCAGCCATTGATGGAAGCTCAGCAATCTTGCAACCGGTACAGTAACCGATACATCTCGATTTTCTTACAAAGCCTCATTCATTTCTCTCTGCCATTCTCTTCCTCCCTCACGTTCCTTCATCGTCGCTCATTAATCAAAATTCATCTTATAATCGTCTCGTGAACAGGGTACTGGCATAATTTGCCAAACGATTTGGTGAACATAGATTGATAGGATCGATGATCGAAAAGGCATACTTTGAGACTTCCTGCGATAGACGGAATGAATGTGTATCTGTGCCGTGGTCCGGTGAAGGAACCGTGTCCGCGCTCGCGCAGTGTTTAGCGCGTATTCGTGCAATAAATGTGAATAAAAAGAGGAATTCTGAAGTATTTACTCTTGGACGATCTTCGGGCTCTCACAGGATCCGTACGTATCTAATACGCAAATCGACGTTCCTTCCTAACATATTCGCAAATTGTATCGAGCTTTCGTAGCTTCGTAATGCGTGCAACATCGACCTCGTTCTAAAGATGGTACCTTGACGTGCAAGTTTGCCGCGCGTCGATGTAATTCGCAGTACATTATTTACCACGCTCATTTCACTGTCAACCTGATTTTCAGGTATAGTATACGGTGAACCACGTGTTCGGTGTCAACATAATTATTCGTTTTCAACAAGAACCCTTTAACCGTGCCATTTCCCCATTGTTCCGCGTTCGATTTCGTTTTGTTCCACCGGGAAATTCGTCGAATCGGACGAAAAATACGTGGTAGAGAGGAAGGTGGGAGAAAGCGGCGTAGAAAAGTGGGAGGTGGAGAACACATGTATATGCGATTTGCTCGGTCCTGAATTGTCAACAAGAGGAGAGTTAACACGAATTGAATCAATTATAGCCCCGTTTTGGAGTGAACGGGTGAATGACGGAACGAGCAACTTCCGGGCATGGTCAATTCATATAACGAGCAAACGAATGAATTTCTGTTGAGATTCGTCTTTGACGCAACTCGCGCGAGATTGATTTTTATAATGTCACCCGTAAAACCTGCGAATACTAACGGAATTATGTTTGCAGGTGGATAGAGAGGAACGAGCGATGCTAAGGAGAGAAATTGCGAGATCGGATTAAGGGGAAGCGGCGCATCTACCTTGGAATGGTTATACCGGTAGCTTCGACCACTTGGGGCTGGGGATTCTTCGTTCTCCTGTTGTTTATTTTCGCTAGCCCCAGTCCCGCGGCCATTCGCAGAGGTAACTCGAAATTAGTGGGCCAATGATCATAGGCCCATATGAAATCAATCGAAATTAGAGACTAACAAGATCGATTTCAGCGGATCGAGACCACTGTAACAAGACGGTGGACACGTACGAGGATGTATCGAGTCCGGCCGTGACTTCGGCGAATTGGGGGAAGCCTCTGTCCTGTTGGTATCGCTTCCGCGTGAACCGTGCCACCTCGCGGGATTGCATCCTGCGAGTCCGCTTCAAAAAGTTCAAAGTCGGCGTGCTGGAAAATGCGACCACCTGCTCGGGCGGTTACTTGCAGGTAATATTGACTGCCATCTCTTGACTATAGCTTGACTATCATTCTCAGTTAACCGAACTAATCTAAAATTTGCAGATCGTGGACGGGAACGTGAAAACGGAGGTGACCAATCGAAAGAACCCGGGAGTCTATTGCGGCGAATCGGAACAGCCGCAAACGTTCATCTCGGAAACGTGTTTCGTCCGTGTGATATTCCACGCGGACAACTTCACGGATCAGACGTACTTCAGCCTCGATTCTCGAGTAGAGCAGGGGTTCGAAGTGTACTTGAGGTACGGCCAGCATCCGGAATTGTATCCGAATCGAAGGGGCGAGATCGTGCGCGGGAGCTACTGCGAGCGAGTGTTCAGGGACTGCCGGCTGCAGACGTGTTACGTGCAGAGCCCGGCCTATCCGGGCATTTACCCGCGCGCGTTGCATTGCAAGTACTGGTTGAACACCCGGTCGCCCTTCATCAAGCTGTACATCGAGAACGAGGAGTTCAACATCGACGGGCAGAGATGCGAGAACATAATGACTTGTCCGATGAGACCGATAAGCTCCGGGTCGGAGTACTGCCCGTACGATTATATACGCGTTTACGATGGCAAGAACGAGAACAGCACGGCGATCGGCACCTTTTGTGGCATGGGCAAGTTCCCCTACAGCATCATCGGCACCAGCGAGGATCTCTACGTGGAGTTCGTGTCATCGCCCGCTGGGCCGCTCTTGAACACCGGGTTTCACTTCAACGTTGGAAACTGGCCGGGACACGCGGAGCTCGCCGGCGTTCGGAACGGTACTTGCAACTGGTTGCTCGACAGCGAGTCCTTGCGCTCCGGTAACGAGGGTATATTCCTCTCGGTGGCGCACTGGTATCCACCCGACACCAGTTGCACGTACCTCCTGAAAGGCAGGCCCGGGGAAATAGCCAGGCTCTACTTCCCCAGCTTCCGGGTGAACCGCATCGAGTCACCGATAGAACCGTACGACGGTGATTGCGGTGAAAGTTTGACTTTATACGACGCCGACTGGTCCGACGACGCTAAGATTATTAAAACCTTCTGCGACACGTTCAGCAAACCGATGGAGAAGCACGACTTCGTCTCGACCTCGAACGCCCTGTTCGTGAAATTCGAAAGCAAGACCGGCAGTTATTCGGGGAGTTCACTGTACTATTGGGCTCATTACGATTTCTTCAACGCGACCAGGTTCGGTGTGCACGTACCCGGCACCGAGTGCGACGAGACGTTCGCTTCTTGGAAAGGGCGATCGGGTCGACTGCGATCGCCGCTGAATACTCTCGTTTACAAGCGTCCTGGCGATCCACCAGCTGATCTCTCTTGCACTTACTCGTTCATCACTGACAAACGATTGTACGCACGTGTCATTCTCACCATAGAGTCTGTCTCCTTCAAGGAGCATCCGTACGCACAATGCGGTCACTGCTGGGACAGTCGAGTCGATCGGTTGATCGTTCAAGAACCACCGACTGCGGACGCGATCGAACCGCAGCAGCAACAGCGACAAGAGCAGCACCGTCAGCAGCAACAGCAAAAGGATATCGGTATCGGTAGAGGTCGCTGTATCTGTCGATCAACAACCATCGGTGAATCGAACGGCGATGGACAGCGATCTGCGCTTCGCGTCGTGTCTCGAGGAGAGAGACTCGAGTTGAAACTGTTAGTAGACGGAACCCACGCCGCGGCCAACTACTTCAAGCAAGCTACTCCGCTGTTCGAGGCTAGATACGAGTTCGCTCACAGCCCGCTGTGCGGGCCCGCAATTCTGCACGCCACGACCGACGGCGAGATCGAATTCCCGCACTACGAGGCACTCGGCTACGTCACTCCGCCCCGATCGATCAAGTGCATATGGGAGCTACGCGTGCACCGAGACCGAGATGTGTGGCTGCACTTCGACAAGATCAAATTCGCATCGAGATCCTGCGAGGACGGAAAGCTGGAGATCTTCCTGCCGAGAAGCAACGAACCGTTCATCGGCATATGCGGCGAGAACGTGAGCTCCGTCGGGGAGATGCCGATAATATCGGCCGCGCAGATCGCTCCCTCGTTCGAGCGCAACTCTGGCCCGAGCGGGGAGCCGAATCTGCAGAACTCGGCTTCGCAACCTTCGACGGATCAACGGCAAGAGGAGGAAGATTGGCCGACGGTGATCATTCAGTTCACTGGCTCGATGGCTCCCGCTAGGGCGGCCTTCAAGATCGCTTGGACGGAGTTGTACCACCTTCCGCGCGACTCGACAGGGGCTTTGAACACGCAGAAACTAGACGAGTATTGTGGATTTCAGTGTCCCGGTGACGCTGGGTGCATCCCGGCTAGACTCCTCTGCAACGGTGTGGTCAATTGCCCTGTTCCGGAGCACCGGTCCGTGTTCCGGAACACTTACAACGGCAGCGGCACTTTAACCAAGGAGGAACCGAACGACGAGTCGCTGGAAACCTGCGGAACCGACGCTCTCGGTAATCGGGCGAACGTCGCCGGGTCCGGAAACGGCGTTGGTAGTCTCGCGAGCGTCGTTGGCTCCGCCGGATGGGCGGGCGCCGGTCTGGGCGCCGGTCTCGCTGTGCTCGTCGCCCTCGTCTGCTTGATAACCGTTTGCAAAATCTGTAGACGACGCGCTACGCCTAGAGACATTCACGTACCTTACTGACACGCGTGCGAGTACGGATTTAAGCATATCGCGGTTCATAAACGCGGACACCAGTTTTCTCTTTTTTCCTTCGCGAGTCTGATCGATGGAGGACGCTTCGCGCGTTGCGTCGCCTCGAATCTAGCGTAGACTCGTCGGGCGGAGTTTTACCGAGCTACCACCGTTATCTTCGTTTGTTCACTTTCGTCGGCGAGAAACAGAGAGAATAGAGGAAAATTAGTTGGACGACTGATTAAATAGGTATAGCTAGGTAAGCTAGATATATATGTTTTCGACCGTCGCGTAGAAACGAATACGCGGACCGTGAGGTGTGGGATGAACATCGGAAGTGTTTTCGATAGGAGTTTGCGATGTAGAGGTACCGCGATCGGTCCGTGTACGATTCGATCTAGGTAGACGCGTTTGGTCGACGCGAATCGCGATTTATTAACTTGTACGCAAGGTAGTCGCGTTACGCGCGTTAGCTAACGAAGAGAGTGCCTGCGAATGTTCGCACGTGCGCGTCACACACGATACGCGCATTATTTCTGGAGAATATGCCGACGACAAATTTGTATATGAATACATACACAGAGTGTGTCCGAAGTCCTACAACGATCAAAATTTTAATGAAAATTCTATCGCTGTCTGACCTTGCATTGACCTTGAAAAGTTCTATGAAGGAAAGATTTGAGCGTTGCCGAACTTTTCACGCACTCTATATATATATTTATATATACGTATGTACATGTACATCTAGCACATAAGTATCGATTATTTTAGGGAATAACCGGTACAACACCGTAATCCTCGGAATAAGCATTGAACAATGTGTCGTACAACGCGATGCGACCAAGAAAAGAAAAGTCATGTTCTTTTGTACATAGTTCGCGTCTTCTCAAATTAATCTTAAATATCTATAGATCACGCGAAATAGACTAACGAATCTACCTTGACAAACACGCGTAACATAAGCGTACGAAAATGCGTAACTTTCCCTTTTTTCGTCCCTTCTCGTCGTGCATTTGGTTGCAACGTGGGCTTTCTTTAAATGAGGATATGTGAGGTTCATCATTTTAAATACCTATATTTCTATTACAAAATCTTTGTATTACAACTACCCTGACATAAACCCTGCCACATTTTTTTTCTGGATCTCCGTACACTTGTGTTACAAAATTTCTAGGACCATTTGTAAATCTATAATCTATGATATCAATCTCCTAGGTTCTTAGATCTACAAATTTCTAGATCTCGAAGTCCCTAGGATTCGAATTTTTCATCGAAAATCACCAAATTTCCAAATTCTTGAAATTCCCCAGATTCCAGATTTTCCAAATTCTAAATTCTCCAGATTCCCTAAATTTGTCGAGTTTCCAAATTTTCAAAATTCCCTAGATTCCCTACATTTCCAAATTCTCAAAATTCCCTAGATTCAAAATTTCCCAAATTCTCGAAATTCCCGAGATTCCCAATTTTCTAAATTCCCTAGATTTCAAATTGTCAAAATTCCCTAGATTCCAAATTTTCAAAATTCCCTAGATTCCAAATTTCCCAAATTCTCTACATTTCCAAATTCTCGAAATTCCCTAGATTCCAAATTTCCCAGATTCCCTAGATTCCACATTCTCAAAATTCCCTAGATTCCCAGATTCCCTAGATTCCAAATTCTCGAAATTCCCTAGATTCCAAATTTCCCAGATTCCCAAGATTCCAAATTCTCGAAATTCCCTAGATTCCAAATTTCCCTAAATTTCCACATTCTCAAAATTTCCTAGTTTCCAAATTTCCCAAGTTCCAGATTCCCTAAATTTCTAAATTCTCAAAATTTCGTAGATTCCCTAACTTTCCAAATTCTCAAAATTCCCTAGATTCCAAATTTCCAAATTCTCAAAATTCCCTAGATTCCAAATTCTCAAAATTCCCTAGTTTCCAAATTTCCCAAGTTCCAAATTTCCCAGATTCCCCAAACTTCTAAATTCTCAAAATTCCCTAGATTCCCCAACTTTCCAAATTCTCAAAATTCCCTAGATTCCCTAACTTTCCAAATTCTCTAAATTGTTCGAATTACTAAATTTGCAAATTTCCCGAATCGCCAAACTTCTATTTTCCAAAATTCCTCGCCAATCCGTGGAATTTAAAATCTAAAAATGAACAACTAGAAGACCACATCATTGTCGTATTTGAAGGAAGCCTAAATTGCATTAGATTGTACACGAAATTTGAACTAGGAAGTATACAGTGCTCTTCAATATTTGTTTATTCGTTTCGTCGCTACGAATCTATCGTGGGTTCGTTGATTCGTGGTTTTTGATTCGCGACAGCCACCGAATCGTTCCCGACAATCGTGACCCCTTCATCCAGCAACCTTGTCGACCACTGCTCAATATGTATCCGCTCGAAAGCTCCAACTATCCGTTGCTCGTTGAACGCTTTCAACTTTTTAAACCTTTTTTACCATTGTTGTTTTTTACGTTAAACGTTTCGATCGGCGCGACCGTTCTTACGTCGCGCATATATATTATCGTTATAATAATTTATCATCGTTGTATTTAAAGTAAGCGATCATCGTCGTCGATGTCGTCACCGTCATTATTACCACGATCACGTGAAACGTCATCGTTGTATCGTTATCGTTATCGTTACCGTTATCGTTATCCTCAATACCGTTTCTCGTTGTTTGCTCCTCGATACCATCGTTGCAGACATTATTGCTACTGCCAGTAACGTGTCATCATTATATTATTATATTTTTTACAAATAAAGATACCCTTGGTGACGAGGTGAAGAAAAGTTGAACGTACTTGAACGAATACGAATATTAATCCATGTAGTCTGTAGTTTCTCTCGAATGCGATCATTTGCAGTTTCAATATTTCATTAAAAAGTTCAAGAATAATTGAACTCGCTAATTATCAAAGTCGTAACCTGAATTTCATTCACATGATATGCAGAAAAAAGAGTTGAACTACGGTTTAAATTCGGAAGTCGATATCAGATCGACTTCTATCGAGAAAATCGCGTAACCTTTGATGTCAGGTTACGTCCTAATCATCCTAACTGTATTTTCCGTTTCTTCCTTATACTCTTTACCTCCTCCTTCCGAGACGAAAAATTAACAAGTACAGAACGCGGGTTCGGCCGAAGAGAAATGAAATTGAAAGATGCTGCTAAACGCGCACCTTGTGGAAGGAAGACGACGATGCCGAGTTTCGAAGTAATCACAGAAAATGTGCTGGTCCCGGTGACGAAGACCGTCTTCACGAAACGGTGCACGAAGCGCTCGAAGAAAGGCGTGAAACTCGAAAAACGACGATCCAACGATAACATTGGACCACTGTTGAAACCACCCTCGGGCCCCGTGAAAACTGCGGACAAACTGCTGCGAATCGGACAGGTTTCATGTCGCTTTTTAAGGTGGTTGTATCGGTAGTAAAATTGGAAAATAAGATAAAGTAATTTTAGTCAAAAATTGGTTGAACCATTTTTAATGTAAAAATGAAATTTACTTGCAGTAAAATTGCAAAGTGAGTACAACACAACAAATATTTTTCCTGACAATCATTGGATGTAGATGAATGTACTTGTTCGTTTTGTTTAGCGTCATGTTTTATTCTTCTACGATACTTTAGTTTCTTAAGGAAATTTAGAACGGCGTGATTAGACGAAATAAGTACTTGTGCACGGAAATTTGTAGATTTTTAAACATTTTAGAAATGTTATTTTGTTGAACGCGTAACTTCTGCCATGAAATTGCAAATACATTATGTGAAGAAAGATCAAGGTTTTGCTTCTTGTGAACAATTTTCTTTGGTAATTCTAAATATTTATTTCTTTCGAGATTAAAATGTCCCAAGATTATACCTTCAGCAAACACTTTTTCTATTTTTTATACTTTTCTATGTTATAATTTTTCAATGTTAAATTGCCTGTGATACAACCATCTTAAACTAACACCTCAACACTTTGACCATCAAAGTCCGATAAAAATTTTCAAGAGTTATTTTATTTTTTATAAAACGTTATCACTTTTCCTGACGATCCACTCTTTATAACATATGCTCTATATTTATTTATTATTCAATTCTATATACTTTATTGCTCAAAAAATTCCTAAAAAAATGGCTGACTAATTCAAGCTCCATAATGATATGGCTATGAGGCGATCAAAGTGTAAATCCCATCAAAAATAATGAAGAAACATAACGCATGCGTGTGTTTCCAGAGTGACGTCCGCTGGAACCATGAAAAAAGAAAGAAATCAAAAGAAACGTTACGCAAAATCGGAAAAAGCCCTAAGCTTCCCGACCGTGAACGAGTACGCCAGACAATGAGTCCGAAGGAACGACAAAAAGTGGTATTACCGTTTCCCTGTCCAATCTCCGCTCTGCCCGAGGCTCCTGTTACCGAGACGTTTCCGATGTACGACGTAGCCAACGCGAAGAAAAAGAGCGCTAAAGTCAGCGGAGAAAGAAAACCGAACACCCGCTCGAAAAAGAGAAGAAACGTCGCGATTCGATCGTTGGATCGGGACACTTTGAAATCTAGAAACTGGAACGTACCGATTACGAATATAATTACGACTCCGACTACCAGTAACGATATCGCAGCAGGATATTGCCTGGTTCCTTATCGCGACTCCACGTCATCGAAAATCGACGCGATCGGTAAGCGAGCATTATCGACCAGTGTCGTTGGTCCAACAGAGCCACGTACGGTGGAGCTTTCGACGTCGGCGAATATCCTGGATACCAATCGAACGTTGCAGTTGTCTGCACAGAGTATCGGACGTTTCGGAGATGTCGATCATTTGGCGTTCAAGCTCCTCGCGGGAGATCCAACGAGGTGTTACCAGAAGAGTTTGTCTGAGACGGGAGGGTCCTGCAAGATTAAGTATTCGTGGGAGGTGATCGGCAGAGCTTCGCAGACGTCGCGCACGCTTTTGGAAAGTTTGATCGAAGGGAACTTCGACGAACCGAGCCAACCGTGTCGCGTGAAGTATTCATGGCAGATTATAGGAATCGCTACGCAAACTTGTGAAAGAGATTTCAGGGCTGAATGTTCGCTTGCTCCGCTCTTGAGCGCCAGATCGCCGCGAATTCGGCGCGACGCTACCGATTCTACGAAACCCAGTACAGTTTTGAGAAACGGCAAGAGGTACATCGTGTTAAATAACCAGTCCACGCAAACGTTCGCTCATAAGGCGAATCAAAGCAACTTCTCTGAAATGCATGCAACGCATCTGTGATCGCTACCTGAAATCAAAATAATCGGGATCAGGATAAGACCGTGGAGAAGCGAAGATGAATAATTAACCAGGGTTACTCATTTTCTGATTCCTGTTTTATTCTGTTTCTATCGTGTCACCTTCCAACTAGTTTAAACGATTAAGTAAAAAATCTCTTGTCTTGTTGCGCGTGAACGATTGTAAATCATCGCGCTGAGAGAACAGAATACATGTTTGTCGTATTTTGTCAGCGAGGTTTTATTTGGCGGTGTACGCGTGTATTTCGATCGGTCACGCGACGAATTTAAGGTGGAACATCCGCAATTATCCGGCTAACAACGTATCAATTTTTGAAGAGATACTTTAGCCGGTCCTCGATAATGTTTTCACGGAATTGCGTAACAAACGTTAACGAGAATGATAAAAATAAAAGACCGATCGCCAGCGACAATCGTTATCCTGAACAACCCCTGCAGCCGCAATGAATACACTCCACTATTCTACCCTCTTCCAGTTTGCCTTTTGGTACTCGACAAATGCAGTTGGTTCCAAAATTCGTATCCCTAGTCTGGATGCAGCGTAAACAGCACAAGTTTTCGTATCCCACTTTCTTCCATTTGGCTATCAGGTTTTTGTCCGCTATGTTTTCATTCAAGCAATAATCGTATAATTCTGAAAAGAAGAAAAATGTAAAACATAATTGGATTAACAAGGGAAATTAAAATAGTTATTCAGGGTAAAAACATAATGAGCAGGTGTAGACCATGAAATAGCCAATTACTTGGTTGACTAAGAATGGAAGCAGCTAACTAATTAGTTCAAGACACAGTTGACTAGCAGATTTAGCTAACCTTGATTAACTTTACTTTGTCGATCAGACTTCCACAGAGATGGGCAACACTGCGAAATACCAACAACAGTTAACAATTAAGGGACAAATGTATGCACCTATTTGTGATGCGAAACATGAGGAATTTAAATAAAGAGTAATTAAATGTGATAGAACTATACTACATATACTGTACCCTGATTTAATATTTAGCAATGCCAAAATCTATAACTGACCAGTATGTTTTTACCTTGAAACCTTGCTATATTTTTACAATTACTCACCGCGACTAATGGCTTTTCGCCTATAATACAAATCGTAGATATACCGTGACTTTTGATGATGAATTTTAAATATCGGCCATAAAGATTCCTGTTTCCGTTTGCCTTCGTGAGGCTCTGTTTCAGCTGTAATTCAAACAGCGAACAAAAAGTTAGCCGGAAGAGTGTCTGTCGAAAAGAAACAGATTTTCTAATCGTAACCTCAATGATGCGTCATCGTTACCTTCTCGCATTTTTTGTTCTAATTCTTCCAACGTTGGCTCGATCAATTCCCAACCGTCCGGTGGAGGCTTTTTACTTCTTCGGACTTTCGGCATTTCTTCTGGACACTAAAACTGTATTCAGTCGAGAATGTTCAACGAACCACAGAAACTGACGTAACCGTACCTTAACTCGCAGTTTATGCGAACATAACCTAAACTCACCAAACATAAACTGCGCGCGAAACAAATTGAACATGTCGGGTTATCGAGTCGAATCGATATTGATGACGTCACGATTCGAGATAATTCTACGTTCCACTAAATTCCAAATTCGAGGACTTCGATTTGAAAATCGTGCCACCTTCACATAATTTATGGTCACTTGGTACCAACTTCCTAATTGCATGATTCGAAAAATTTCTGAACCTCCTCGTAATGCAGTCTCCTGATACCAAATTTCAAATTCGAGGTTGTTTCTCTGAATTTGATGAATAGGAACTTGTCTAACATTTTTTCTGAAGGAATCCGATTTGAATTTACACAAGATACAGGTACGAAAGTAAACTAACATCAGAATAATTACAGAAATAAAATTTATTATAAAATAGAAATCATGTGAAAAATCAGTTCAATATCCAATTTTCGAAGATAGGTCAATTAATATTTCCATTCAAGATATGTGTACAGTTTGAGAAAAATCAAACTAAGTTGTTTAATCTTCAGGTAACCATATATCTGACGTGCAATCACCTCCCGGATAGCTGGAAAGAAAGTTCAAAGTTACAAGAAGTTACGATGGATGAAAACAATTTATCGTATAAGAAGAAATTTTACCGCATTTCGTGTGCGAGCAAAATGTCGTCTTTGTCGGCGCCAAAGTCAATCAAAAATTGTTCATCGAGCTTCATGCCACCATTTTTAACATCAACGTCCAGTTTGACCATAGTCGAACCGTTCCTGAGAAATTATTAATTTAATTAAATTAGTTATTCGGTAAATATAAGAAACACATAAATATACTGTAGAAACGTAGGAACACAAAGCGGTAATGTACTTGACATGTTCAGGATAAAATTGTTGATCCCAAGGTTTGAAAATTGACGTCGTCACATATAAACGTGTTCCATCAAGACTCAGTTGAAGCATCTGAGGAGATCCATCAAGGCGACGACCCTTAACATAAACAGGATCTGGTTGACTGGTGAGTTCCTGGTCTTGAATCACGCGAACTTTTGAGTCATTCACAATCGATCCACCGAGGAACACTTGACCCGTCAACTTTGGATTGTCAGGGTCAGAAATATCGTACTGTCTAACATCTCCGTGGAGCCAGTTGGATAAGTAGAGATACTTATCGTCGAGGCTGATTAGGATGTCGGTAATCATTCCTAAAAGCAAGACGGTAAAACAGAATCGATGGTAGGTAACTACATCTACATTTCTGAAATGCGTACCTGGCATCAATGGACCGAGCCAACCTTCTACTTGCTTAGGTGGTATTTTCACGACCAGCTTGGCATGCCATTTTCCTTCCGGTGTCTTGTCGAATTTGAAAACATTCGAAGACACCGCGCATCCGACGAAGCCCACAGTGGCCTTTGGATCGTGCAGAAATCGAACTTCGAGAGGAGCTATTCCTTCCTCGCCTAAGTTCACTATTTGCTTCAATTTGTGTTCACTCCACGAGTAGAAGTTCAAACTTCTGCCATAGATCGCTGTGGAAAGAATCGTATTACCGATAAAACAGAGAAGAAAATGAGAGATGGTAAGAAATACTCGAAAGAAAATTTTTTATTGAGTGAGCGAGCCGAAAGCGAACGAAGCTCTTATACTTGACATTGCAACTTCTTTGTCCGCGTTTTTCTTTTGCACCACTCAACCAATTCTCGTCAAGTTTTGCATGCACACGCGTATGTACATCCAGAGGGACACAGAAAAAAAAATTTTAATTGGACTTGCCACGAACGAATAATCACCGAAAAAACTGATCCTAAAAAGTGAGAGTCCGAACACGCATATAAGGAAAATAAAAAAATTAATATTTCGGCACTTTGTCGACGTAGTATGGTTCCTGAGGCATTTAGAAACAAATTTCTATTAGGGTTTGATGCGTTTTGATGCCTAATAAAGCCAGAAAATCAATTTTTGTCGAATTCGGACCAAAACGGTACATGTGGCGTCCATCTAGCGGCGCGCGGCGGAACTACAAAAAACTAAAATCTCGATTTTCTCAAAAACTAGGGACTTTTCCGAAATTCCGAGATATACAAATTGTTCCTTATCGCCTACAGAATCGAACGAATGTAATTATAGCCTGCTAGGACAATTATTAAGGAAAA